GTGACACATAGCTGTAATCCTAGCTACTAGGGAGGCTGAGGCAGGAAAACTGCAAATTCAAGGCCAGCCTGGGCAATTTAGCAAGACTCTGTCTCAAAGCAAAATATAAAAGTGTTGGGGATGTAGCCCACCCAGTACTATTAAAGTTCACCCAGTACTCACAGTTTAAACTGCTACAAACTGTGAACTAAATGAGCATTTCCTCCCTTAACTGTCGATGATGTTCAGTATTATGTCTCAGAAATAAGAGAAAGTAACTAAGACAACAATCTTGAGGAACAACATTTCACCTCAACCCAGGGCCCTATCCATATGGATACATGCCATATACCAGAAAGCTAAAAGACATGCCATAGTTCTTTGTTTTTCTTTTTTTGTAGCAGTTATAATTTCTCTTCTGTCTAGTTAATCTTGCCAAATTCAGACCTCAACACTTCTCATGTCTCTTAGCAGTGTCATTACTTGTATCCTCATGCCTTTTTCTGGAGTGCTCGATTCATGGATTCCTTACTTCTTATTCAAAACTCATTTTTACACCCTACCTTCACTAAATGACTCACTTTCTGAAATGTTTTACCTTTTGTTAACCAAAAGGTCGGGGGGGGGGGGATAAGTTTTGTTATGTACCACTAAAAGTATCTAGTGAATTATTCCAGTAACTATGGATTAGCAATAATGATGTCTGTTCTCAACAGCATCACAAGGCACAGAACAGAGTACAGTATTATAAATAAAACTCCTAGCTAATCCTCCTCTACCTAATAATAGTAAATTATTATAGCTTTCTTATCTGAAAAAGACGCTGAAAAGTAATAATTTTAAGATTTTGGAAGATATTTTAAATTACCAAAAAGTTAGAAAATAAGATGTTTTATTTTGTTTTTAACCTGAGACTAGACTGGAAAGGAGAAATAAGAAGTATAACCACTGTAAAAAAAAACTTACATCACACATAGCCATATAATAACCTATCCTGTACATTTCAAGGACAGTTCAGGTATAACACAAAAAGTAAAAGAGAAACACGAAAAAAGAACACCAGACTTCTTTGGTGGCAGGTGCTAATCACAAACACAAAGATGTACAGTCTATTTCACACACACAAACACAGACTATCAACCCTATTTGCTGCCCACCAATAAAGGAAACCAAAAGTAACAGCTGAACAGGCAGTAGCTACCAAAATATGAGTTGTTCTTAGCATGAACAAAGCATTCTTCCACTGATTTCACTTGCTGCAATCCCCAGCTAAGAATCAATCTCAAAAAGAGACTGATTATTTTTCCACTGAGAATGTCAGAGGAAAAAGGAAAAGCGTTTCACTACTTTAGGCACATATTTACATTTCAAACTACATGGAAAACTACAAACCAGAAATGAATGACCATTTGCTTTGCTGAACTAGAATGAGGATGATCTCATCTCAGAAATATTTCAGAGGTAAAAACAACTAAAGCCTGAGCAAACTTTTTAAGATTCTTTTAACCCCTCATTATGTTTAAAAATATATATATACACATATATATATTTATATATTACTTGACTTAATATTCTACCCATAATACAAGACAAAAACAGATACACAAAAAAAAGCAAGGAAAAAAAGTCACTTCAGTAACACCATGTTTAAGGAACACATCCCAGAAACATCCTTAAACATAATCTGAGGAACTCTAACATCAGACGAAACTCAAGGGTCCATCAGAAAATGAGCAAAAGAAACAAATCATAAGTCAGAAGTTTTAGAGCTCCATAGGATCTGACTATGACAATTTATTATTAACAGCTTCACGAACTCCCCTATGATAACTTCAGAAATATCCTAGTGGACACTCATTCTTTATACATTTAAATTACCTTTAAGAAATCTTACTGTTCTTCTTACCAGAGCTTCTACTGGAGATGTGTGCTATTATAAATGGTCATTTGCTCAAGCTGATTTTCCACAAATTCTCCTAAATGCACATATTCATTCCTAAACTTGAAAAAAAGCTTAATACATTAGGGCAGATAAAACAAAACCTATAAAATCGGTGCAAAATTACTATTCCACAATAATAGAAAAGACAAGAATAACCTACTCAAAAAATCTCATATTTAGTCATTAATAAGCACTGTGTCACTCTCAAAATTACTTGACATTTTCATTTTAGCACTCTTTCTCCGTGGGTTTTAAAAATTTCCTACTTCATTAACTCAGTACATTAAAAGACACTGTTCAGTAAAACTAAGTAGTAATAAATTCACAAATATTCAGAAAGTGATTTATCATCACAAAACTGTGAAAGTAACATAGATTCCTACTACCAAAAGTCATTTTAGAAAGCTTAGTAAAAATCCCAGCCTAGTCACAAAAAACACTACTACACTGGAGAAATTTATCAACAGATCTTTTTTGTGTGTGTGGGATTTTTTTATTTTTTAAAGGAAGAGGTAACGGGAATCAAACTCAGGACCCTGCACTTGCCAGGCTGGTGCTTATTCTGCTGAGCTATATCCCCATCCCACAACACATGTTTGTGACTACAAGTTAATATTCATTTGCTTTCTATTGAAAACCTTACAGTTGATAATTTCTGAGACTATAACTTGGCTATGCTCTAATACAAAATTTGAATACTGTCTTATTTAGAAAATTAAAATGGAGAAAAATAATTAGAATTTGTTCTTTTTAAAAAAAAAGGTTGTATTTCATCTTAGATGCTAGTTCTCCGACACCTAGATTTTATTCAAAATACCATTAGGCTCCCAAAGCAACTACCAGTCAATACAATTATCAATTTGTTGATATTTTTGTCCAATATCCTTTCTACAAACTGTCTAATCTCATTGGCATAATTTTGCATAACAGTAGAAAAATCACTAATATGTTATGCTGATACAAACATTCTCAGAAACCCAAAAACTATTAAAACATAAAAATTTCCTTCAGTTACCAAATTTGTTTTTCTACAAATCAAATATAAAATTTGGCTATCAAAGATAAAATTTTTTAATAGCAAAAAGTGTGGTTTGTCTATGATTCTCTCTAAAAGAAAAAAGATATGAAGAGAATGTGGATAAATGTATGAGCTGCCAACTCTATCACAGAGTCTTAAAATGAAAAAATTGACAAACATTATATTAACATATTTCTATTTAAGTAATAAAGACAGACAGGTAAGGCTGAAGTCCCTCTAAGCCTCTAAGATTGTCCAGTTTAGTTTAGCAATAGAGGAATGCCTAAAAGCTAGGGTTCACTTCCTTGGTCCACATCCCTAAAACCTGAACTGCTAAAAACAAGTCTTTCATAGGTTTTCTTTATTGTTTACTAGATCATTTTATGTTGCAGTGTTTTCTATAATTAAGACTATAACAATAAATCAACATGATAAAAACGTAGAAATGTCAAAATGATGCCAATTAGTATAATGGTAGCAGGTTTTTGTAAGCTCCAAAAAATAGTTTATATGCTGGATTTATAAGAATCCACAGTCTTTTAAATGGACGTCTAAATCACCCAATTTATTCCCCAGGCAAATTAAGATCAGGTTGTCAATACAAAACAAGTATTTTTCCCCAAATTTCTAAGACTTTCAGTATCATGTCTCTACCAAAACATCTACTTAATGGTTGATAATTTGAAAACATCAAATCTAAGATTACAGTATCAGTAAAGCAAGAAGAAAGAAATTAAAGTTCATGGTAAGTGTTTATTTTGGCACAGTCTGACAGGTTACTTTAAAACAAGAATGACACTGAAGGCTCCATTTTGCCAGCACTCATGTGCTGCAAGCACCAGTCTCATAGTACTTTAATCAAGAGACAGACATAATCACTATCATTTATAGTACACAAATTCACTACTTCTTTGCAAAGTTTTGACATCTTGGCTGATGTCACATGTTGGCAAACTAAGTATATGTTGCATTAAAAGGATAAGAATAAAGAAACTAAAGTAACAGCTTTTCAAGCTTATGTTTTCACTAAACAAGAAAAAACTACCTAAGTTTTTTGTTTGCAATATATGACTGACAGTCAATTTTAAACCACTAGCTCTTTGAATTTTCTTCTAAATGTTTTAATTATACTGTCTATAAAGACTTATCCAGTCTTAACATTATAATTGACTCCAACAAATAAACCACAAACAAAAGTAGCTTAAATAGTGACAATGCCTGATTTTTATAACTAAAATAATAATTCTGTTACCTATATAGATAATTCAATACATCCTTCAATGAGTGCAGTCATTTTATACTAGATCCATGGAAAATAAAAGGCCCATTAAGAAACAATGAGAAAATATTCAATTTTATATTTATTATAATTAGAAACAAATTTCATCAAATTCTTTCATATAAAACTATTTTACAAAAAAATTGACAGATTTTCAAATTTTTCAGTTTAATCATAGCATTACTTTGCTCTTAAAGGTTTATATTTAATAAATTTATAAGAAAATATAATAATGAGAGTAATAAATAGTAGAGTCACTCAAAAAATATTTCTCCATATTAATGCACTGAATAGGTTGAGTGATAAGTAAATATTTTAGGCATTTTTAAAAAATACTTTAAGAAAAATACAACAATCTGTTTAAAGAAAATAACTTTCATCTCTGTAACACAAATAGATTTCTATTCAAATATTACTATACATTCATACATTTGATGTAAAGAGACAACAATGAACATCTAACACTTCTAATCACTTACTATGTGCCAGGAATGGTGCTAAGTGCATTACACTTATACTAATCTTCACAGCAACTGTAACACCAACTGCAACACCACAGGGCTCCAAAATAAATATGTGAAAGTAATTTACTCATACCCATTCCTGAAATTCAAACTCAGAGAGTCTGGTGCCATATCTGATTTCTGAATCATTATAGATAGCGTGTGCTGTGTAAGGTACCTATAGTATCTGATATGACGACCCAGTAAGTACCAGATACAACCCAGTAGGTACCAAACAAAGGTGCAACTCTTATCATAATATTTCTCTTTTTTACTTACTTTGTGATAATTCTGGATTTCCTTTCAGATTCATCATCTTTGGAACTGATGGACCATACACATCGGCATCCAACAAACCAATGGCCTTTGACTAAAGAAAACAGAATTCACCATGAAACTATTCCCATTCTTCATCAAACATTAAGCACACAGCAACAATAAGTTTGATTACTGAAAAGAAAATTTGTAAAATATTTTAATATCATAACCTAAATTTTCAAAACAACAGTAAATAATAGCACAAATTGTTTCAAGTAATTATTTTTTGATCTACTAATATGTTCCAGATAACTGACTAGAAAAATTCACCCCATATGCTTTACATACTACAGTTCAGGTCTCCCATACAGTCTCAAAAAACTAAGACCTTTTAATCTAAGCATAATTTTGACATGGAAATAAAGTTAAAATAATGACTATGGCAAATGAAACACCAAGGAGATGAAGCATTAACTTTTGGAAAGCCCACCTAATATAACAAAGAGGACAAAATAATTACAGAAACAAGACCACAATAGAGCAAGCTAGACATTCTTATACAGATCTGGCATAAAAGAGACAAAGTGCTAACCAGGACACTGGCAGATGTAATACAGAGACAACCTCTTACATGCAAGCCATAGTTACATATCCAGGACTTTTTGCAGTGTTCATAAACAACTAAAAACTGTCTTCTTTAAGGCCCCTACGGTCACCAAGTGTCAGGATATCCTTACTGGTCTCTGCTGGCTGCCAGTTAACCAATAGTTTGGTCAAGGAATCAAAAATAAAATTCACTTTTCCCAATATGTCTCTTTATTGCATTCTCCCAAAATCAAATGTTCCAATTTTTTTTCATGTACAAGAAACAGAATATTAGGGGCTGGGGATTTAGCTCAGCAGCATAAGCGCCTGCCTTGCAAGCAGGCAGTCGTGAGTTCGATCCCCAGTACTGATAAAAAAGAAAAAGACAAAAAAAAAAAAAAAGAAACAGAATATTTATATTAAATGTACTTCACCAAATCTTACAACTCTCCTCACATTCTCACACATCCTGGCAAGACAAAAGTCTTAATCCCTCAGCAAAATGTTTTTAAAAATTGAAACAATCCCTCATCTTCCATTTTCCCCTTTCCTATCTATTTCCAATCACAGAATTACTTTTAAAACCTTATTGTCTGGTTGCTACAAATACACACAATAAAGTAAATTCAACATTATATTCCTACCTTTATATTGACTCAATTTGCAAGGGGTTTTGTTGTTGTTTGTTTGTTTGTTTGTTTGTCTGTTTTTATTTGGGGGGTATTTGGGGTTTGGTTTTTTTGTATTGGGTTTTTGGGGGGGGCTGTTTTTGTTTTTGTTTTTTGGTACTAGGAACTGAGCTTAGGACCTTGCACTTGCCAGGTAAGCACTATGCTGCTGAGCTATGTCCCCAGCCCAACTTGCAGTTCTCAAGAAACCTCCCTTAGTCACTCACTGTGATTCAGTGTTCTCAGAGGGAAAACATGACATTGACATTTGTCCCTGTCAAACTTTTGGTTTATTATTAAAAACCTTAAGATGAAAAAATATAAAAGAAACTTTACTTTTAATAAAACGATGGTATATAAAGGTTAGATTTAATCCAGTTAGGTTATTAGCTCTAAAAAGATAGGAACGTTCCTTGAGAAATTCTAACATATTTAATAAACAAGAGAAGGTAGTTGAGTTAAAACAGAATTACATTTACTATGGACAAGATTTCAAATGAGGTGCCTAAAAGTTTTAGAAATGAAGCTGTTAACACTACAATGTAAGGTTCTGCTACCGCTGTAATCGTCTTCCTATAATTTTACTTGTTTTCTGTGATACCTACAAGGACTATAAACTAGCACAAAATAATAAGAAACACTAATAGAAACAAAAAATACAAGATCCTTTTTCCCTCTATTCTTATTCATACCAATTTTGGTTTTGTAGTAACTTAAGGGTATTAGGTTCTAAGTTTCAAATTGGTCTTCTAATAATGACTATCGAGTAAAATAACAGCCTTTTATATAAGTTTACTTGAAACAAGAATACAACCAACTGCTCTAACTTAAGTACAACTGCTAGGGTCAGCTTCCACATGACTAGATCTGCAACTAAGTCTCCTTCAAAATCTTAGGGAGAATGTATGTCTACCCTACCTTGTAGAAAAAAATAAATAAAAATTTAAAAACCGTACCACCTAAAGATGAACCCTTGGCACTATGGTCTACGAAAAAAAGGTGTGAACAGCCAGGCATGGTGGTGCACTGCTATAATGCCGGCACTCAGGGGGCTGAGGCAGGAGGATCATTGTAAGTTTGAGACCAGACTGGGCCACAAAGTGAGCTCAATGCCAGTCTGAACTGCATAGCAAGACCCTGTCTCAAAAAAGACAAAAAAAAAAAAGATGTGAACTAACACTTGCCGTGGTAGAAATGAATTTTACATACTACCCAGATGGCTGCCAACATACATAAAAAAGGGAAAATAAAATTCTTCTGCTTCTAAGTTCTTAACAATAACTTAGAATCTTCTACGTATTGGGATATCTGCTTACTCTCTTTATAAGTAGTAACCCGAAGTTAATACTTGTAGTCTCAATGATTTACCCATCAAAAAAGAAACAGAAGGAAGGAAAACTGAAGATGGTGAAGAAAAGAAGAGAATGAGGCACAAAGGCAGGGAAAGAAGGAAGAAAAAGATGAAGAGAAATTAATCAGCAATGTTATATTAAGACCTTGAATACATTAGGCCTCTACAAACTGTATCTATAAGCATTCCAAAATCTAAAAACATACCATTTACACTATTCAGGCACCAAGACTTTCACTGATAATATCTTCCCATAGCTTACCTTCCTTCTGGGTGCCCCACTCTAATCTAAGTATTTTATCTACATTTCTCATTTAGTCCTTATAACAAAATAGTAGAGTCCTTACACATAGATAAGAAAACTGGAAAATAACACTCAAAATAACCATGTTTTGCTCCTTTTTATGTATTCTTTCTTAGAAGGGAAATAAAACATGAAAATACTAACCTCATAAACCAACTCCATAACTTTAATACAATCTAATTACAAAAGACTTAAATATAAAGAATTGTTTTCTTAAAGGGCCAATTAATAAGGATTTTAAGCTTTTCAGATCATATGATTTCAATAGCAACTACTCAACACTGCCAATTGTAACATCAAAGCAGACATACACAATACATAAAGGAGCCAGGGGACAGTGGAACATGCCTTTAAGCCTAGCACTCTGGGACACTAAAGCAGGAGGATTGCAAGCTCAAGCTCAGCCTAGATAACTTAATGACTTAGCAAGGTCAGAATTTTCTGACATTCAATTTAGGAATAAAACTTTTTATTATCAACTTATTCAAACTTTCAACAATGTAATCTTGGTAGAGCCAATAGTGTGCAAAATATAATTACACTATCTCTTTTAACGTCAGAGGAACAGTCTCAGTAAAGATTCACTTCTTCATTCTATAAAGGGAAGAATTTTTCAGACAATTTCCCTAAGTTACCATACCTTGGTTAATTTTATATAGCTAGCATGAATAAAATTATCATCCAAAGCCTACACTGTCTAAATAATATTAGAACTGAAGAAGCTACTGAACCAGTACAATTATCATTGCTATAAAATAAACAGGCACTGATTTTCAAGTTTAGAATTCAGGCACATTCAAAATGTGTCAAATATACTTTATTTGTTCGTGAAAATTTACTCCATTATTTTAAAAAGCCACTATCTTAAAGAGTATAAATAGCCTTTCAGTTTAAACTTTCAAATCATTTTACGCTATATAAAATTAAATGAGTAAGGTAAAAGGCTATAAATAAATGTATAAAGCTATTTACCTAGCTACATTTTATAAATTCTTTCCACCTCATTCCTCCTATAATAATTATATTTAATCAGGAAAGCTCCACGTAGCTGGGGATTTAGTTCAGTGGTATAAGCACCCGCCTGGCAAGTGTGAGGTTGTGAGTTCAAACCCTGGTACCACCAAAAAAAAAAAAGAAAGAAAGCTCTAACTAGGATTTTCTTTATCTTTAATGTCAGCCAGGCTCAGAAGAATTACCACAAAAGCCCCTACAGATATAAAACAAACAAAATTATTAGCAAAACTAACTGTAAAATTATTTACTGTAAATGACTGTCATCTTTATGTTATCATAAACTTAGTCAAATACGTTTTTATTTAACAACATACTTATTTTTCTGACTCACTGTATTCAAAACCTAGCAGATGACATAAGACAAGATCAAACCCAAGATACCATTTAGATTTTTGGATTTCTTTATAATTTATAACACTTTCTTTATAATTTATAACACTTTGTAAAAGCTATAAAAGGTGGCATAATTATTTAAAGTGATTATACTGTTTCATTACTACAACATGAAAGCTACAATTTGAGAGCCTGCAAGCCCTATTTTGTGTGTGTTAGATTTCAAAGGCACTAACAGTTTTTATACTGCTTTGTTCTTCCAAAAGAATTTATCCTAAAGAAGACTGTAAAGCTTCATGACATGTTCATTTTATTCCTGTCATCTGTTAATAGAACCCATCAAAACAATATGCTAAAGCATTTCCATCCAATTATTTCTAAATAAACATGTCCGTAAGACCTACCTAAAGATTGTCCTTTCCATACAAATATCCAGTTAAGATTCCCATGAGTCACTGCACATTATATTAATTTAATCTCTGACTGACAATGGGTATTTATTCAATTCAGAGTTTATTTAAATCTCTTTTTCTTCTCTTTCTATCTTTAAGTCAAGCTGCTATTCATGAGAATTTAAGGGCTGGGGATTTAGCTCAGCGGCATAAGTGCCTGCTTTGCAAGCACGTGGTCCTGAGTTCCATCCCTGGTACCAAAAAAAAAAAAAAAAAAGAATTTCAGTTCTTGGTGAGTTGGCACCATGCACAGGCCACAGGGAGGACAGCCAGACACCAGCTCCTTCCTGTTAACACCATTCACAGGCCACAGGGAGAAGAACAAGAAGCCAGCCACTTCTTGTGAGTTGGTGCCATGCACAAGGCCAACAGAGGCTCACCGTGCATGGGCTGGGAGACAAGAAA